ATCGTAGTACTGCACGACTGAGTTTTGTCGATTGTGAGCATCGCACGGTCGCTTATGCTTCGAAGCGAATTTGGGTCGGTCCATTCACACACTTTTTTATGAAGACTTTATTAATAGGACTAATAATTGTCGAACATATGCTTAAGCAATCTTGAATGACATGGCATGGCACGGGTCTCCTGTTACCGTAACTTAAAGGATGTGAAGGCGATTATCAATGCCCTGAAGGCTCCTAATTTATTTTGATGGAGCGGAGAATGGACAAGACCTTGGGTGATAATGCGTGTGATTTTAGAAATCATTCAAATGTTTAAGTGCTTGTGGATGAACAGGCAACGTGGAACTCTGCATATAAGTGTTTATGGTTCGAACTCCTCCCTCCCCCTTAATGCCATTCCTTTATTAAAAAGTCAAACCCCATAATTCACTCAGGTAAAACATTGCACAGCGGGGAAGAGGGGGCATACTTTTGGTAGACAAAGGGATTATCAAATGTTTTGGAGCAAGTAAGCATAAATGACCCCCAAAATTGCCATCAGGCGTATTGCGCCAAAGTGAGTTTGGACGTTCAAGTTCATTCATCAACTTTACTGTCATGCGCCTCGACATTTATGCGAAATATGCTAATTGGCGAGTGCGGACGAGACAATCAGGCGAAAATTGACATAACTGTCTACTCTAAGTGAAAAATCACGAAAAAAAATAGTAAGAATGTCAGACCTTCCAGTGTCAGCTTAAACTGGTATCTAAAAATTTTGTTGGCGTCGAATTTTATTTCTACCAGAATCGACGAAGTACAGCACGCATATACGTCTGTGAAAAATGGCGAAAAACTGCAATTTTTGTTAAGCTAAATTATCATTATGCGCTATTCAAAGAACAAGGCTTCTCAAAACACCTTACCGTTTTCCATGAATAGGATCCGTGATGGTCCAGGTACAACATGTGGTGGTTCTAACCTTTGGCTCGCTGATTCGAACATCCCCAACAGGGCAATGCCGATCTTCCCAAGTGTATTCAAGCTGAAGTGCATGTACAGCTGCCTTGTAAATTATCATGCTTTTTGTAAACTTGGACCAGATCACGTTCATACGTTTGGCCTAAAATGGCCAGTAAAATAAACGTATTCTCCCTTTTCTTGCGGGTCTTAGGTACACCGCAAGAGGACAAGAAATTCTGATCATCTCCTATCGTGGTGTGCGTAAGAAACGGGTTCGCCCAACTTACTGTTGGCTTACAAAGTTTTTAACTTAGATACGAAATTATCTCTTCCAGTACGACCTTTTTCGGCTTTATTTGTTCCCAAGATTCGATGTTGTAATTTTGGCAGATCGTCGAAAGCATGTGAAGACTTTTTACTTGTACAGCATTAAGTTTCTTTTAATGACAAACATATGCAGCCAAAAACCGTCACAACACCTACGATAAAAAACGCTTAGAAAGCCTCTTGTCCAATTACTGAAATAGAGGTAGTAACCTGTCTCTTCTATAGCAACCGTCCGCAGTTAATGAAACCTTCGACTCACACACGAAAGTAACAGCTTAAAGAGGAAACGTAATTGAGTGTACGATAGAAGGGGGGAGGAGACCATGTAAGGGACAGCTGCAGCTTGTGAGTTATAACATTAAACTTAGGTAGGCGTTTGAATATTAAAAGCCAGTAAGCATCTAAAAAGTAGCCGTATGAAGGAAGAGTAATTATCAAAAAGGAAACTGAATTGGTTTGCTGCGAACGCTGCGTACTCCATTGGAGCTCGCTGTAAGTGTTAGCGAGTAACATAAGTAAAAACTACATGTCTGCATACCACCTTTTGCTTACTTCTTTACAGACAACACCATCTGCTATAGCCGTGCGCACCATCGTACTACAGATGCTGTTACCAAGGCTCCTGAAAACACATTTCCGTTTCAGTCACCATCCGCTTTGCCGCTTTGCCGCTTTGCAGTGGTAAGGCTTAAACGAAGCGACGTGGCAGCAGAACCAACTGCGTGGCAAATAAATTAAAGAGGAAGCATCTCATCCTTAAATTATTTCGCCATTATGATTGTGCATTCGTTTATAATGATCAGAGGCTAAAGCCAGGTTTGTTGGCCCAACTCATGTTCTGCAAAGTGCATCATCCTAGTGATAGAGGACGTGGAGATTGAAAGTACGACTCCGAATGCTGATAATATCAAAATTTTTTAAAATAGTGGCTCACCAGTGGGAGGTACTGCATTCCCGAGGAAGTCTGCTAATTATAAAATTTTGATGCAAATGTAGCACCCAAAGTCACACGCCCCAGCTTTCGACGGGAACCCATTATAATGATTGCCTCTATGATTGTCATTCAGTTGACTATTTTGCCTTCATCGGGCAGGACAGCCTCCCACCCAGGTCCACAGCACCGCTTCTCCTCGGGTTAATTAAGCTATGAGGGAGATGACACCGTATTATAAGCGCTATTTATTTCCAAGGAAATCATGAGATGTTACATCAACAATTCTCCATAAACTTAAGTTGTACCCAAGCTAACACGTAATGCACGCTCTGAAAATCGCGACTCTAAAAGGTTGTACCACTGTAAGTTTGAACTACTGAGATTTTATAGAGTACTCAATTCCTTAGCATAGATTTATGCTGAAATAAAATAACATGAGTGGGAATATGTGCACATAAACCAATGTTGGTGACCCATAATTCTTGACCAAGATGACGACCATATCGGTGAAAGGAAGAAACTTTGACTCCGCACTTAATTGTCAAGACGCCATATGAAAACTAAGTGCCATGGATTCAGAAGGCGGTTCTTATAGACGCTATAATCTATCGCAAATGTTGCCACACCATGCGTTTTTCTGAGGTCTAAAACTAGAGGTAAGCTGCGTTTCTTAAATACGTTGTAAAAATCACACTACCAAGAGGGTCACTATTTAGCGAAGCTTTTCGATTGCATGGCACAATTAGTGCCTTAGTGCATCCTTCTCATTCATTATTCCGTACTAAAGTATAAAGATGAATTTTAAGATTTCAGTTAAAAGTGGACCCACTTTTAACTGGCCCCATGCAGTAATTCTTTATGAAAAAGATACTTCATTTTTTGAGTCTTTAGACCATAGCGTTTTCCGTTGGTTTCTTGCCTATGTCTTATTTTCCGTAACTAAGATCTTTAAGCCTCCGCCGTCGCACCCCCGACTTCGCATTAGGCTTGAAGAGCCACAATTGCGCAACTATAAGCTGGCCAAAATCAGGAATAACCGCACATTAAATGTGGTATTGAGAAGCCTCATTCGGGCCTGAACGAAGCTCTTTTAGTGTGCTACAATATGTCAATTTGTTTTTGTGACCACCTGTATGACTGGCTGTTAATGTGGAATTTGCCTTGCTCATGTACACGTGGACTGGTCAAGCCAAAGTCCAATCTCTTATTCTTCACTCTGATAAAATGCATTCAGCCCAGCTTAATACATACTTCTACCAGATGAGAAGTCTCGAGGCGCTACCCTGATGGCAGTGGAAGGCGAGCACGACTCTATTGGTACACCTATCCCGGTGTCCACCGTTTTTGACAAATTTCTACTGTGTGAAGGAGACGCATATACTTTAGGCGGAAAATTCTCTTAGTTCTTCAAAATATAAGGGTTGGGGATGACGTTTGCTTTTGACTCTATCCCATCCCAATGTTCTATCGGCAAGCCGTCTGCAACTTAAGCGGCATTACTGTGAGCCATCTAATTGAGTACCGTTCTATAATTTCCGTAATTAAATTGTCGCATAGATGGCAGCAATGACATTGCGCTTAAACACTACACTTTTCCTTTTCTAGGTATCTGTTTTAGACCAGCACTCTTATGCCTTCTTGGTCAGCAGAAGCATTTGGCTCTAAATCCTGCTCTCAGATCTGATGCAAATCCAGATTTGGTTGAAACTGCTAAGAAGGCCAAGCACATTATTTTCATTCCCATGATAGCTGATGACTGGCGTGACTGGCTAGTAGAGTTTTCCTTGCAGCACCGAGGGAAGTACATCAGAAGCTGCTCGAAAGAAGGAGACACTGTAATACATTACCAATACAACCATCTATATTCGGAAGTCAATCTCATATTTGTCTTGCTCTTGTGCGCATGGGCCATGCCAAAGTCCGACCTTGCATCCTACTCCTTGAATCGCGTACTTATCCTCTACTCAATGCTTTTACTATCTAATAAGAAGGCTCGATGTGCTACTGCCAGTGTGAACAACTTTAAAGGAGAGCTTATTTATGTGGTAAATCAGTGTTATTATAATCAATGCCAGCTTTAATGCACCTTCATCGAACACACTGAAAAGCCGGTATTGTCTCACCAAGGGTATCAGAGCCTTCAATTTCTACAAGCACTACACAATTGTATGTCTACACTCGGCAATGCATGCTAGCTAAATTAATTTACCAAAATACGCCAAGGTGAGATAAATGTGAGGATATGCAAGAGTGGCATTGTCTAGGCATATGGTACGGACAGAAAAGAGACTCGAAATGCTTTCATAGGCCAAGAATACTGCGAAATTCATCTTCGCGAAAAAAAAACATTCGCAGTTATTCTAAGAAGTGTGTTCGTTGTTAATTGCCAGAATCCTTAGTAAGCTTTGTTTATGAAGTGATGATACCGGTTTAAAAGCTGTGGTCTCCTATAAGAAGACATTTACTTTTGCATTTGACCAGAAGAGCATAGATAGTAATACCGTTTAAAATTTATGAGTAAGCGACTTAAAAGTATCGTTAAGTCCAACTTTGCAGAGGTGCAGTTATTAATTATAAAATAAAGAACTGATTAAGCTTTGCACATTATCAACAGTAAAATTAGCCTGCAGGTATGGCTGACATCACGCTATTGTGATTGGTTAATGGGGTTGGTTTAAGGTTCTGACGGGAATTGGGTATCTTCGTTGTTTGTCTGCCAGGTTTCCACTCATAATCCTCTTCACATATATTTTACTGGATTGTAAAAGCAAACACCAAATGAGTTGGAATAATCAATCGATGTGTACGCCTGGTAGCTCCATGCAGCACGGTTCTTTCGGAGGCAATTACATGCCACCATTTGACCAAATGGGGAGTACTGGTCCAGTAGACACAGAAAATTTGTCCCTCGAACATCGTACTCAGGTGACGGGTCGCGAACTTCAGGAGCTTCTTAGCGTTTCCCATCAGAGTATCGACGAAGCTCAGGAGAGGTTAGCCATTTACTCGTTCAATGTTTGTCACAACACACACTTGCGTGGTGCAATCCTCGTTTGATACAGTTTTTGCTTCGCGTCATTAGTACTGTGGCGAGTTCATTACTAACTCGTTCATTAGCTGCTGTTAGTTGTGTCGTTGCCAAATGGGTCTTTGTCGAGTTTATATTGTTAGACCTCTGGCTGGCTCATTTGATGTAATCTTCACCAAACCTAAAGATCAAAGCTCTTGCGTAACGAGAAGGCTGTATGTGCTATTGATTGGTGAGGAAATCTCAGTAATATGAGTTTCATTTGTGTTTCCTTTGTCGCTTATCTTGTCCTCTGTTGTATTGCTTCTAATTGACATTTCTTTTTTTAGAAAGCAAGCACTAAACAACCACCGATTAAAACCTGCCCTTTACAACGTCTTTTGTGAAATAAAGGAGAAAACAGGTAGTTGCAATGAAGTTTAAATTCATCCTTCTGTGTAGCTAGGTTTTTTGCACCTTTTAGCAAGCGCTGGGTAGCGGTTCGAAGTAGCTCTGTGCTAATCATGCTTATTTTATCTAAAAACGAAGAGCTTAATTTTAACTTTTCAGTTTCGGCTTAATTTACATTTTACTGGTTGTACTGATTGGGTTCGCACTACTATTTTGTCTCGACTTTTGGGTGACATGGGGTGGTTTTTGCACAATTTCAGATAAAAGTTTTCATGTATCCTGAAAATTGCAAACTTTTCAGATTTTATACTGTGCATTGCCAAAACTTTCGCTCGTGACTGTTCAGTTGAGTAAAGAATGTTAGGTTGTGTTGGCATTTACCTTATCATAGTTATTTGGTCTCTAATTACTTGGTTGTGCAGCTCTCAGTCTCCGTAGCACTGCTGCGGCGAGCACGGAAGAGGAGCTCAACGCCCCAGACCCACAGTTATTGCGGTTAGACAAGATGCTAATTGCTGAGGGTGTCACCGGGACGAACGACATTGGGGATTTTGACGGCGCCGGTGGTGGCATGGCAGGGGATAGTGGCCAGATCGAACATGCAGATTACCGGGCCAAGCTCACCCAGATACGCCAGCTGTATCACACAGAGCTTGAGAAGTATAAAAGCGTATGTTTTCATTTCATTTGCGCGATTATTCAACTTTACTTAGTAAAAGTTCGCTTGGCAACTTCTATGGTATTTCTTGACACCTCTTCTGCTTTTGACTTAGTATATCCTCAATGCCAAATAGACAATACTAACTCTAGGTTTTTGCCTCTAATAGGTGCTTTGGTCCTGGATTTAAAAGGCATTCGATGCTAGAAACTTGATTATGCGAATCTAAAGCAACAGTGACTTAGAATATATTTTTCAGAAGAGTTGCTATGATTCATTATCGTACGACAAGGTGTATCACATTGTAACTTAGTACATATTGATATTTGGAACTGCGTTCATAGGCCTGCGATGAGTTTACTGGTCATGTGATCAATCTGCTTCGTGAGCAGAGTCGAAGCCGGCCAATCTCCTCGACAGAGATCGACCTCATGGTTGGCATCATTCGTCGAAAATTTCGTGCTATTGAAACTCAGTTGAAGCAGAGCATATGTGAAGCCGTCATGATTCTTCGCTCCCGCTTCCTCGATGCCAGGTGGGTCTGCAGATGCGCAGCATTGGAACCAATTCCAAATATGCTGAAGTAACCATTGCAGGTTATCGGATGACCGACGAATTGATGGTAAAACTTTCATGTACGACGTTAAGTAGCATTGCGGTTCTTAATATTTGTGTGCACAGAATCCGACGGCAGGTACATTATAAACGTTTAATCACTGATTTTTTTCGACCGTAGTATTGTTTGCACGTGTGTGCTATCCTCACCAATGTACGCACTTCATTCACACGAAGTTACATAAACTAATTAATACGCGGTGTATCTGAACTGCATCTTCGGCGGATGACTGACAAAACGACAAGATAGAAGACGCGTGGAAAACGTTATTCCGTAATTTCTTATTTTCTGAATTAACATGAGTCGCCACCACCTTCATCCGGGTCTGTTGGGTCTATGCTGCTTCTGATGGCATGCTTTTTTAGTGTTGATTTGAATATGTATACAGTATAATGTTGATTTGGACCTTCGTTTGCTTCTGGTTTCGACCTGTTGCTTCAGTAACCCGATTGATTTGCCTCCTCTCCCATCCACTACCTACAACTTTTTTTAGCCTGACAATACCAACTGTTCTTTGAGTGAATTTCAAGAAAATTTGCCTTTTGACATGAAGTTACGCAATTCCCAGCCTATTTAGGAACGTAAAGTGCATGAGGCGTTGATTGAATGAATGACACAGGTAATACTACGGTTACTATCATTTTTTCTACAGAATCAACACCGGGTATTTGCGTCCAACTATTAATCCGCTATCTGTCTGCCTCACCATTGTTTGGTTGTAGAGTTTAAATCCCATTTGCATATCTGTTTTTCTCAACTTCTGTAGAGAATTTCGTGACTTAAAATTTGATGTATATCGGAATAAATTTAATCTCAACCCCGGAATGGTCCACGCAATTGCGTTCGAAATTCAACACTTAAAAGTCGCGTACCAATTCGTGTTGGATCCAAATTTTCTTACATCATTTTGATAGAAACAAGAAACAACGTTATCCATCTCGTTGGTTTTAGCATGGCTGTGGTTGCTGCTCAAACCGATTTCTAGCGTTGGGGTGTTTAGTAAGTGACTGCCTCGAATGGACCTTAGCCAAGGATTTTTTCTGCTTCTCCGATAGGTTTTTTTTACTAAATGTTCCACCTCGAAGCCAGTGTTTTACTTTATCTTGCAGCTTGGTTTTGATTCATTGGCCCAATGTTTCTGGTTTTCGGGGCTCTTCTGCAACTCGGATTGTATCATCGTATTGATAGCAGAGCGATTTTCAATCTCTAACCAGTTGATTATGTCACATTTTGCTATTTGCAATCAAGCGTAACTAGACTTTTAAATAAGGAAAAATACGTTCCTCTCATTTTTGCGGTGAACTTTTTTAAGCCAAACATTGGAGTCGTTGCCTAAATGGCCTGGTTTGAAGCCAACCTTCTAGATGTTTTCCGTGAACAAACGTGCTAGGGAAGGGGAATTTTAAGGGAGTTCTACCGCCACTGCTTTGGTGGCAAAGTATGCATTCACGTGTTCAGATGTGGTGATTAATCGAGGTACCTAGGTAACCTTGAGTGATCGATCTTCATTGAAGTGGGGCTTCGCTGATTTTAAGACTAGTCTTTTGGAATATTGTGCTTTGTTATGTGCGATGCCCGTGAAACAGCGATTGATTAATCAGTGCTTTTAAACCTCCGCTCGTTTCTCGCAGACTGTTGCAATTAATCTTGCGGAATTCAGGTCTTAGTTAAATCACACCTGCACTTTTGCATTTCCTTTTATTTGCGACCATTAGGCTTAAGAAATATTGTCCAGTTCCCGGTTTATCTTTCATGCCTCTCCTGGACTGGTACCACCTCTGATTTCCTGGTGTTCCTACGATTTTTCTGGGGTGGTTAAGGTGTATATTAGGCAGCTGAGTTATTTATTGCGTTCTGTGGCTGGCTATTCACTTACTTAAGTACAGAGAAGTAAGTTGAGATTATATTCGTTTTGTCCCCTCATTTTGTTGTTTTTTTATCACACGACCTCCCTACCATCTTGCTGTTTGAATTCTGCATGCATACTGCGTCTGGTTTTGCTGCTCCATCACCCCCTATTTCTCTCCACCTATCGCCCTTTTCATTGAGGCACTTACCTTTCTCGAGCGAAAAATTTAGGCAGACGTGAGAGCGTTTTCTTGTGGATTTAGCCATTTGTAATGCTGTCAAGGTAGTTGTAAATATGATATTTCGATGTGAATTAACCTAAGTGTGCTGTAGGATATGTTTTTCCTTTCATTTGTTTATCCTCTGGTAGGTTCTCTTTTCTCTTTGGGGCAGATAAGCAGCTCTTCGCAGCGCAGAAGATTTCTGTTCTGATAAGTCACCCTACAATAGTATTGGTCTCAACTGCATATCATTTTCCTTCAGTTTTGAAATTGCACTTTTTTTAATCAACACTCCCTCGATTACTTTTCTTTACTACGGAAAAGGCTCCACACCTGCACATCCTTTCCCTTGCTGGAATCTACGCTTCATTTAAGCCTTATGCCTTTTGACGGCATGACGTACCTCTGAAATTTGATTTTGCGCGTTACTTTCAGCGTTCAGTGGCACGGGCAAAAATGTATTCACGTACGCAACGTGCGAACGTTGATTATTTAAACATCGCATGTTGGTTCTGTTTTTTCAGACGCAAGCGTCGGAATTTCAGCAAGGAGGCAACTGAAGTACTTAATGAGTATTTCTATTCTCATTTGGCCAATCCTTATCCCTCGGAGGAGGCCAAGGAGGAGCTTGCGAAGAAATGTGGCATCACTGTTTCTCAGGTAGTTAATTTTTGCAGCGCGTTCTATGATTCGTTCACGTCAGTATAGGTATGAAAACATGATCTCATAACGCTCACCTCCCCTTCAGTTAGCCCTCCTTTTTAATCGCGCTGGCTTTCTAACATTGGTAAAGATCTGTCCTAATGCCGGTTCCAATTCCCTCAGAAAGTTCTCATCACATAAGCTCGTTTGGTATTTGTCCATTCCTCATAATCATTCAATTTTTTGCATTCTTATCATCATTCAATCATATTACGGTGCGCATTCCAAACTAGTTTCAGATATTTTGTTTAGATCACCACCTTAATGTGACTATCCAAGTTTTATGTTCGCCCAATCGCACCATTTTAGGCGTTAAACTTACCCTTGTTACTGCATTTTTATTCGCAATAGTTGTGTGGAGAGAATCACTCTCCCGTTATTTTATCTCCAGTAGGTTGCGACCTTTACACATTTGCATCGTTTGCATTTGAAAATCAAACAATAAACAAGTAGCTCTCTCATACCTTTTCATATCATCAAGCCACTCGAGAATCGATGGTTCGCCCCTTTCTTCCTCTGCTCTCTTGTACAAATGCCTGTCATGGGGACAACTGGTCACCAAACGCGACAATGCTTGATATTTTGGAAACTACGCGAGACCTATTGCAGTTGCTGTTACCCGAATTATGCTTTCCTAAGCGTTCAAAAATGCAATTTAGCCCATGAATATGCGTTTGCTCATTGCACTGTCAACGGGTTACGTAATGCATCCAACAAACCTAACTATGGACATAACATCTATTCTTTCGTACATCTTCAACTCTGTTGTATTTGTCATTTCCTATATGCGTTCACTCTCCACGCACGAGTCTGAGCCAAAGCTTTCTACTTTATGAATTGAACGTTATAGGATCATCAATCGTCTTAACTCAGCGTGGATATCCTTGTTATCAGCTTAAATCTGTAACTGATGTTATAGAATTCAGCTATACTTACGACAATTTGAAATGATTGCATGTTTCCGCATTCTCAATCAGGTCAAAAATTAAACGCTTAGTTGGTTGGGTAGATAGCACTGTCATTTCTGCTGACGTGCTTCAGGTTTCCAACTGGTTTGGCAACAAACGGATCCGATACAAGAAAAATATCGTCAAAGCCAAGGAGGAGGCCAATATGCATGCAGCGATGACGGCCGCTGCTGCTGTTTCCGAAGGCACAGGGCGACTGCCACCTCACCCTCACGCCATGCCTGATGAAGTAAGGTTCTTTCCTTAATGTTTATTAACCCACGTATCGAGTTTCTAAACTTTTTTTGTTTTCGATCACGCCTCATCCAAGAAAACTATTCATAGTCGCAATTGGAGTCATAATTAAAATTCGTTGTCTGTAAAAGTCCTATTCATTTTCCAAATCCCAAGATGCATGCTTGGGGAGAAGCCTTCACTTCAATTGCATGGGTGGCATGAACTGTACTCGCTGCATACCTAGTACCTGCTGTTGTTCACATCGTTCTTTGAAGTCAGATAACTGTTTGGTCGATGTGTTAACTAATCGTGTTCATGATCCGATAGAAGTTTTTGTAATCTCTCGAGCTTGACCCTATGAATTGTTCTTCTGATTTCAAAAACTAGTCTCTTCATTGAGGAGAGTGCGTCAAATATATCTCGGGATATGTAGTCAGGACGCAGCAAACGACATCTTGGCAGATCGGTTTTGGGGCGTACGATAACTTTATGCTCTCTAACAATGCAAGAGTTTATGTTTGCTTTTCTGTTTCATAGCACGTGACGTCCTCGTATCCGCACGCACCAGTTATGTATGATTACGAGGAGCAGCAGCAACAGTTGCAGAACCAGTCGACAGCGCCGGAGCATCGAGACGCTGGTGGATGGATGACCGACGAGCCAGAACGTAAACGCAGCAAAATGTGAGCTTCCTTCCATCTGTCTCACTGTTTTTGCACTCATGGTAGCGACGATGAGACTCCGAAACGATTGCTGTTTCTCGTCACATAACCGCCGCCTTCGTTATTATCATCGTCCTCTTCATCAATGACATCGTAACAAGTGTCCTCAATCTTATCGCCTTTTATCAATTTTCGACACTTGAACTTTAACACCCGCATTTTACCTGTCCTATAGACCACTTTGCAAATATACATACATTGTACCGTGGCATTTCATCATAACCTTGCTTTTACTGTACACCTTTCCGTTTGGAACGAGTAAACCTGTATGGCGTAATCAGTGCACACTTACATAGCGCTTTCTTCGCTGCCTAAATTGCACAACCATGGTGTCGAGATAGAAACTACTCAAGTAAGGTGGAGGCGCGTAAGTTCTACATTTGCAGAAGTACG